CAGAGCCGCAACCTGGGCCACGCCTAATACCTTCATCAGGCACTACGCCCTAAACGTCCGCAAGTCCACCAGTGACAGTCTGGGACGTCAGGTTTTATCATCGGCTAAGCAGTAAACACCTGACAGCACCCACCTCCAGGTAGGCTACTGCTCGCTAATCTCCCATTGGTGTGAAGCACAGAGACCACGAAGAAGATAAACAGGTTGCTTACCAGTAACTGGTGATTTTCGAGTGGTCATTTGTGCATTCACACCACCCGCCCTCCTGCCCCGCTGCTGTCTTCTTCTACCTGTTTTGTTAGGAGATTGATACGCGGCGGTTGGTAGGAACTGGTGGGATGTCCGTGCCTGCCCTTCTGAGCATGCTCACTGGGGTTCCTGAGCATGCCCAGTTGGGCCAGGCACGAAAATCCTTTTAAGAGAGCTTGCTACGGCACCGGCAGATCCAGCGCAGGCGCACTAGATCCCATTGGTGTGAATGCACAGATGACCACTCGAAGATCACCAGTTACTGGTAAGCAACCTGTTTTTCTTTCTCTGTACAGTTGCCAGCACCCACCATCCTGCTTGGCTGTAGCTCGCTAGTCACCCAAGGCTGGGACTGCACAGAGACCATGAAGAAGATAAACAGGTTGCTTACCTGTAACTCATGATCTTCAAGTAGTCACACACACCCGCCCAGCCTTCCCCACTGCTAACATCTCTCGTTCTCTTACTTTACGCTGACGGGACTTATCAGTGGTGGTTGAAGGAACTGAGTGGGTGGGCGCTTTCCCCACTACATGCCTGCTCCCCAGGGTGCAAGTAGAAAGTGCGCCAAAACGATCGAGGTTAGCTCTTCATTCTGCAAGGTAGGGCTCCGCGCCGGCGCAGTACACAAGTGTGTGCCTGCACAGATGACCCCTCGAAGATCATCAGTTACAGGTAAGCAACCTGTTTTGGGTCAGTTTTCTAGTGTCCAAAGAGGCATTGGAAGCCACCTACCTGAGTTTCCAGCCTAGCGGTCTGGTCTTGGATGACTCTTATAAGAAAAAATGTTTTGCAGAGCATATGGGGGTATGCCTTATAGCTCAACG